CCTAGCGTTGCATAGGGAACGGATTTTTTTCAGTTGTCGCACATCTGCGACGCGTCATTTGTTCGTGGCTGTACTACTCATTGGTCAAAAACATTCTCCTCTTCGATGTATCATCAAGTGTTAGATGAAAACCCCAGATGTGTCCTGACGAGCAGGAATGGTCGGCGATAATTTCTCAGTTGATTCATCATCTCATCGTCAAGTCACGTAGCTTGTGCACTTGTGTTCCCTAGGATTCATATTCCAACTTTAGTCACTTAAGTTAACATATATACTTGTTCTTATTAAAGCAATTTGAAAGTTTCCTTACGTTTCTAGTAATCGTGTTCTCGATATTTTAGCCATAATTTCGCATCTAATATAGAAGCATTGTGACTTCAACATATCCCAGAGTTGTATTACTCCTATTCTGCTAGTTTTCTCTTCTGTGGAGACATCGAACTTGTTATATCATATTCGGGTGTTAAATTCTACTTTATAGGTATACATGGCAGTTATCACATGGTCATCACAATGTCTGGATGTGAGTTCGAAATAGCCAAATATTTTCACCAATTTTTGGGATACAATGAGTACTGATGGCGAATGTCATGTGCTCAGTCATTTCATATCTTGTTACTTCTGTCGTTTTCTGACATGTGTCCAAATATGGTTGGGACAGTGGTAAACATCGTAGCCGTTCCACATGAACACTACTGGAGCATTTGTTGGTTTTCTATGCATGATGGCGACGAGTTTCTAAATAACCTACTGAGAACTTGGAATCTGGTTTTTCGATAACAGGAGTACTGAAGAAGTTGAGAACCAAATCAACTTCTAGGAGACATTGCTCAATCTAGTTAAGAGTAAATGTGGTCTTTCAGGACATGTTATTTCACTTTTGCCGTCACGTAGGGTTCGATTTTCCGTAAGAATAATGAAAGTGAACTTTACTTTCAAAGAACGCAAGTCCCGCAAGGCAATTGAAGCATAAACGTTGCATTCGGGGTTCAGCTAGATCTAATGTTCTGTTTCTTTGACGTTCTTCGAAATACGAGCTTCGATAAATACGATTTCAACGCTTCATAAATTCAAGATTCCATCTTCATGGAATGTGGAGACATGGATCTTATTGGCTAAGACTTGAACATCCAGATGCTCTTTGGCAACGGTTGAAATAAATCAACATTGTTGCTCTGTATGCTTCATATAATGTTGTTGTTCTCTTATCTGTCAGCTTTAACGTTTAAGCTTTACTTTGCGCATTCTGAAACTTAGAAAATAGTGATAGAATAAGGTTTATAAAGTTTTCTCATTTGCATAAGGGAAATATACCAATAATGTTCGGTGATTGATTTCACATTATAAAATATGTTCATTCTAGAATAACAGATAACAGTGAAAAGTTTTACGATAGCTTTCTCGTGAGATAGAAAGTTCCATAAGTATGTCCGTAAATATGCCAACTAGAACTTGTTCTCGTACTCTATTGTAGAATGTGTTAATCACAGTTGGAGGTATAATTCGCGTAATTCTTATGCGTTCGAATTTGGAAAACTGTTTTCGCGACTTTGCCACCGCTTCGTGGCTGGGATCGACGCTGAGGGGTTCACTTCTCGACCATGGTCTGCCAAAACGTTCGACGTTTTCGGTTGGAAGCACAGCTGTGTTAAACCACTGTTAGAAATCACTATAGTCGTGGTAACAACGTAATCACCACCCAGCAAATGCTGTTGGCGTGGAATAGCGCTAACACAGCTTTGAAGACTTCAGGGAATGAAAATGCTGCACTACCAGTAATTTTCTTGTCAAATAGAGATTGCGCGGGGTGATTTTTTGTAATGTGTGAAGATCGGATACTCAGTTATTCGAGTTGGTGCAGCACAGTATTCGCCATAACAGGTGAGACTGTGCAAGATAAAATATAGCGATATTTTACACAAATACTTTTGCACTTTTTTAAATAGTTGCTTGGTGGTTTGCTCAATGTCTTGCATTTAGTGAAACACCGATTCAAGCTCGAGATGCCAAAGCCACAGGAGACTCCGAATCTTAATTTGGATGACAAATGTAAAATCAAGTGTGTGTTTTCCTAGGTTAAATAGTGTAATGCTTTAGTTTGATTTCCATCATTGGAACATCGTATTGTTCTGGACTCACCTAAGTATTGCAGAGTTGTTGAAGACAAAGTCGTGTCTTATCGATTTTAAAATCTGCTCTATTCTACTGCTTAGTTCGGAACTATATTTTTTTAACATAGTTTCTTAATATTGTAGGCTCACAAACGATTCGGAGGAGATTGAAATCGCAGCCAAAGATTTGGAAGTCGGTTCTTTTTTTCAAATCCTATAGTTCTTATTATAGTTCCTATAATTCATATATATATATATATCACCTGTAGTCCCGTTGATCGTTGAGTGACTCGAGCGGGCGCCAGTAAATCTTCCATTTTTCCTTGTCGCGTGCAAGAGTTGCCCAGTGGGTTCTGCTCGCTCTAGGGACTCTCGTCGAGCATCATATCTTTCTTCAACGCTCTTTGTGAAGAACTTTAACCATCGGGTCGGTGGTCTTTCTGCAGTACATTTGATATCCCGAGAAATCCAATCACTAGCGGCTGTTGTCCATCGGTTGTCATTCATACGCATTACGTGTCCGGCCCACCTTACCTTCGACGGTTTAGCGTACAGAACGGCATGTTTGATTTTTGATCATTGACGCAGATCGGAGCTCTGGATCCCATCCCTTACTTCTGTGGGACGGGATATTCCTAGCATCGTCCTTTCGACTGCGCGTCCGATAACGCTGAGTGACCTTTCATCCTGTTCACGCAGCAACCAGGTTTCTGACGCATACTTTAGAGCAGGAAGTATCGTTGAGTCGAAAGGTAGGCACGGAGTCGGGTGTTCTTTGTTCTCCTCACTATATCCTCGATGCTCTTGAAAGTTTCTCAAGCCGCTCATTTTCTTCTGCTCAGCTCTGGAGCTAGGTCGTTCATCATATTGATTTCCCGACCTAGATAGATATAACTGGAGCATTAGGAGATATTCGTTCCCTTAAACGTGAATGGGGCATGCGAAACCAATCCGTTCTTCATGAACATCGTTTTTGTGAGATTTAATCGAAGACCAATCTTTCCACAGGCTTTATCAAAGTCGTCAAGCATACGCTCTGCTTGGCTAATGTTTGTTGTTATAAGGACGATGTCATTAGCAAAGCGAAGATAGTGTAACTGCCGACCGTCGATTTTCACTCCCAAATTATCCCATTCCAATGTTCGCATAACGTTCTGGAGGGTGGCGGTAAATAATTTTCGCAAGATGGTATCGCCTTGCCTAACTCCTGTTTTGACGTCAATGTTAATATCGTTGTAGAATGGTGATACTTCGTTGTGAAATTTTTGTACAGCTCACGAAAAACCTTTATGTACTAAGTAGGGACTCCTTGACTATCAAGGGCTTCCAAGACTGCTTCTACCTCAGCTGAATCAATGGCCTTCTGTAAATCGATGAAAGTGAGACAGAGTGGTCTTTTGTACTCTCGCGACACTTCAATGAGCTGTGTTACCATGTGGATGTGTTTCATCGTACTAAATCCTCTTCGAAACCCTGCTTGCTCACATAGCTGTCCTTCGTCTAGTGTTCTGTCAATCCTGTTTAGGATGACTCAATTTGCAGACGGCAGACAGTAAGCAGATTGGGCGATAGTTGCGGATATCGTGCAAGTCGTCACCCTTCTTGAACAATAACACGGTCCTGCTGGTCTCCCACTGAGAAGGGACCTTGCATTCAGACAGGTAACGTGTGAAGAGCTGAGCCAGTGCGTTTACGAGGACTGGAGGAAAGTTCTTCAGGTGTTCTGGTCTTGCCCTGTCCGGACTTGGTGCTGTTCGATCTTTCACCGACGAAATGGCATGTCGGATTTCGGAAGGGAGAACCGGTGGTGCAACATATCTTTCCTCTTTTACTTCATATGACGGAAGGTGGACGTGGCTATCGAAGAGAACAGAGTAATATTCGCAAATAATTTTCTCCGTTGCCTTTCTGGACGCTGTAACTGTTCCGTCTGGGCGTCGGAGAGCAATCATTTTTGTCTTGTAATTGGCGAAACTTCGGTGGGCTTTGCGAATGCTTTTCCCAGCCTCTGCAACTTCAGCCATTACTGCTGCTCTTCTCTCTGCAAGATCTTCTTTTATCGCCTCTCTGCAATATTTTGCAAATTTGGCCGTTAGTTCGCGGTTGCCTGCAGCTCGTGCGATTCCACTCTGACGTATTATCCCGAGTTTCTGGAGACAGACGTGTCTCTTGGTGACTTCCGAACTCAGAGCTTTCATAGCGCTAGCGTGAAGATGTTGAATGAGCCGATCATATTCTTCGTCGATGTTATCGACAACGGCATCTTCCCAACAGCCGACTAATGAATTGAATAAATCCCAGTTTACGGTGGTTCTGGGGCTTCGGTTTTGGAATTTAGCGGCTTTTTCTCCTTTCCGCAAGAAATAGAATCTTGCACGAAGGAGGCAATGGTCTGATCTCGTGTAGAATTTTGGGACAACAGCGACATCGGTTAGGCAAAGCATTCTATTTACTATGATGCGGTCTATTTCGTTGTGGTACTCTCCGTTGAGGACTCCCACGTCCAGCGTTGAGGGTGGGGCTTGGAATTGCGAGTTACCATGGATAGTCTTGGTCGCCATGATAAACTCAGATAGCCGCTCACCCTGTTCGTTCCATTCTATTCCGTTGATCCCAATGTGACGTTCTTCTTGGCCCAGTCTTGGCGCTGAAATCTCCAATGACGAGCTTGAAGAATGTATGGTATTCTCTGTAAAACTCTCCAAGTCCATATAGAACTTTTCGAGTTCTTCTTCGTCATAGTTTGATGTCGGCGCGTGAAGACGGAGTTTGTCAAAGCCGGTATTGATCCACATCTTCTTAACTGTAAGCGTCCGACTCGCGTTTCTTGTTGTTCGAAGGAATCGATGTCCATAGACATACTCGTGTTGATGAGAACGCCGAGGCCGCCGACTCCTCTATTGTTGCATGTTCTGAGGAACAGTTCTTCTTCGGCGTCATAGACGGCGTTGAATGGATGGCGTCGTCTCGTCTCGGTCAGGCCGATGACGTCGTACCTTATCCTTCTTGGTTGCATGAGCAAGTCTTTTATCTTGGATTCGGATGCAAGTGTACTTGCATTGTAGGTAGAGATCGTCACGATAGTTCTTTGAAATCCAGGCAGCTTCCATTGGTCGTGAGATTTTAGCAGCCTCTCCGTACTCGTCCTACCCAACGCTGCGAAATTGGGGGCTCTTTCGGGGTCAGGGGAATGAGGTCCGTTTTTTTTTTACTGTGTTTAGCACTTTTGATACCCACGTATAGCTTGCTGGGCTCTGAACGTGGGGGTTGGGTATACTCACGGGTAGCTTGCGGGGCTTTCCCAGAGTGGACAGGTAGCTTATTTGTTAGAGGCATATATATATATGTATGTATACATATATAATGCCACATATATAAGTATACATATGTATATATATATAATGCTACATATATATACGTATATATATGCGTTTATATTTATACGTACATATATGTATGCATATATATTTTATTAGTACTGATGTTATTAGCATTAGTTAAAGACAAGCATTAGTTTTTCCGCCCTTTGAAACGATTATTAATTAGGTTCTCGAAGAACTGGGAAAAGGCGGCTACGGAGTAGTGGAAAAAATGCGGCATCGACAGTCTGGAATTATAATGGCAGTGAAGGTTAGAGATACGTATCGCTTTTTTACAACATTAACTTTTTTTGTGTTGTTATGTTTATCGTTTAGTGGAAAAAATAGTGAATTTTTCGATCGACATTTTATTTTGGCAGTCGGTATGAGCTAACAATGTCTTCCTATTTAAATTCTCACGAAAAGATCCATTGGTGTCCATGCGGACATGAGGTGGTGTGAAAATTAGGAATGGTCTGTTCTTATCCGACTGTCACTTCAATGCCTCCCAACGGTTTACGGCCTCATCGTTATTAGAAAGTGTTCCTGGGCGTCGGGTTGCGATGTACAGCCGTCCTGGTGTCAAGCTAGTATAGTGGGAAATCTTCTGTTCCAGAAGGGCGGCGACTGCCTGTGGTGATGATTGCCTGGTGCAGACTTAGGCCTGACTAATCTCGGGTCTCCAGGAAACCACATTGGCTAAACCGGCAAAGCTCCGAAAAAATAGAAGTTATGCTGGGGTCCACACAACCAGTGAGGACGGACCATCCAATTATCAAACTATCATCCTAGTAACTTGTTCGATACCTTCCGTTTATCGCTATGTCTCAGCGAATGTGTTAAATGAAGTTACTTGTCTAATACTTCGAAGTCATGCTTTTACATACGGACTGATTGTTGCTTTATGCTGGAACTTGCGAAAATCAGGTTTTTTCAGTTTCTACCAACAACGCTGTAAACTTTTGGTAGCACATTGTTAATATCTTCACAATGATCCTGGTTTTACCAGAACAATAGAATATGAGAACTTGATAAACTTATAGGCGAATCTTCCTGTTTGTTGTAAAAGTGTATCGAGGTTTTTCAAATCATTATTTTTCTGTGAAACAATCACAATGTTGCTGAGATATTTGCAAAACTCCGGACCGCAAGTGTCAGCGGTGGTGAACGAGCACGCTATTACTTTTTCTTGGGGTAACGCGCTCACCACTACACCATGATAGTCCTTTGCTTCGCCTGTCTTTCAGCCGTGTTATTACCCCGAAAAGGGTAAAGGAAAGCGTTCTTTTCCTACCGCAGAAACCTCTGAGGTTTTCCAAATATTTCGGCATATTTGTGGTTGTTTTACAAATAATACCTTGCAGTGAAAACTTATAAAAGACAGTAGATAGAAAGTCAACAGTATTATTTTTCTGTAAAATTTTAAAACTTCGAGGTTACAAAAAGTTTTAATTTTTTAACGCCAGTGCGGCAAAAAATTAGCATTAACTTGCGGGCATCATCAAGTACTGCTGGAGGGGTCTTGTTTGTCCAATATTTTCGAAATACCCGTCTCGAGGAAGAAGGCAAAAAGTTTACGTTTTATGGCCACCATAAAATCAGAGTTTCTTCTTGATTAGTTAAGAAAGGTTTCATACAAAGATCTGGAAATTCTACCAGTTTGTGTTTAAGTTCGGAGCGATGAATTATTTTAGACGAAGTATGGATCGGAATGAGTGCAAATCCTCATGAATATGTATAAAAAGCTACGACAAGCGAACCAATAAAATCATGTAGAACAACTATCATCTGTATATATTCTTTCTTTGATGAGCTCACACGAGATTGATAATGATGTTTATTTTCGGCTAACGTTTCGACGTCGTCGTCTTCCTCAGCCGATGATCTACATCATCTGTATGTTAATACCCATAATTATTTTTCCTTCTGAGAATAAGCTTTCTATTGCGTAATATTGATACTTCTCTCAACAATATTTGCTTATAATCATCTCAGTGTTTTTCTTAGGATAAATCGACAAGATCATCTGTTGTTTTCTCTCACCGGCATCACTTTGTTTTGTCCCCTTTCAGTACGAATTTAAACAAATCTCGATATTATGACTTAAGATTCGATGAGCGGCTGTGGGAACAAGAAGCGTAATAGCAAAATGAACTTGTTTTCTGTTATCGACGTGAATTCCTAAAATCATTTATTGGAACCGCAATGTATTTAACGGATTAAAAGAAGATAAAGCTTCTGGCGTTGATCAATCCGTAAGGGATGCACCATGTATTCCACTTCGCCAAGCATTGTTAGACGTGATCAAAAGTATATTTTACCTATACAATGACTCGCGGTGGTCTACCGATGTATCGAGCCAGTTCTGCTATTCTCCCAGACAAGTCTGGAATCAGTTTGCCGACCTCGGAGTGATGGAGGGTTTGGTGAGCCGAGGGCGCGGGGATCGATCCCATGTGTAGAAGGGCGCCTCTGACTATTGGGCTACACTCGTCCCTCTTACCCTTTAATGTATTTACTTTATAAAAATGCGTGAGGTCGAAGTATGCATACTTCCTTTTTAATGTATGTTATGTTAGGCAAATTTGTAAAAATGTTTGTTACCAGAGAATGATATATAAGCGTCTTCACATAGTGAATATGAGAGGAATTTTTTTTTGAATGGGTAACAAATTATCGTGTTGTTTATAAAGTGTTGCGGTAGCTAAACGTACAGCACGTGGAATACATGAACAGCAACATTATTTTGAAATTATGCGGTATGATGATACCTTGAAGAACATTGTTTTACAACCGCTATGATGCTGCGATATTTGCAAAACTCCGGACCGCAAACGTCTGCGGTTGGGAACGAACGCGCTATTACCCTTTTCGGGATCTAAAGTGTTAACTGCCACACTATTCGGGTCCTTCGTTTCACCTCTCTCTTAGCTAGTTCTGTTTACCAGTGCCATCATCAATCACCTATCAACGGGATTAATCTGAGGAGCCCAAACCGGCATTGAACCCAGTTAAGCTGAGGTTGTAGTCAAAATCACAATGTCAACTTTTTTCTATTTAGTGCTTGTTACAATTTTTCGCGGCACGGTATTATGTGTGGCACAACCACAATGTTGCTGATCAATCCCATTGACGGATGATTGGTGATGGCACTGGTTGATAGAAAACTAGCTAAGAGAAAGGCAAAACGAAAGACCCACATGGTGTTGTGATGGACACATCAGGCCGTGGAAAGGGTAATAGTGCGTTCGTTTCCTACCGCAGACACATGCGATTCGGTGTTTTGCAAATATCTCAGCATCGTTGTGTATCACACATAAAACCCCGCCGTGAAAATTTGTAATAGACAGTAAGTAAAGAAGTTAACATTGTAGTTATATTTTATTCAGATTGTGTTTTAGCGTATCTCGTCCTCTATCAATGATGAATCCCAAAAACGTATGTTGACTGAACTGGATGCATGTAAAAGAAGTGACTGTTGTCCTCAGGTTTGTCGATGTCTTAATAGCGGTTTTATATCGTGAAGTATTAGTTTTACACATTTTAATTTCTCAAGTCGTATTTGGAGTAATCATTCGTTTTTTCATCTTAACATTAAGGTGTTGTCATCGTAGAGAGATGAGAGTATGACCTGTTCATGCGATCAGCGTATGTATGGTTTAGATGGTTCGTTTCTACGGGGCAATGTTTCGTGAAGGCGACGTTTGGATATGCATGGAAGTTATGGACACATCGTTGGACAAGTTTTACAAGAAATGCAATGCTCTTGGTCGAAAACTTCCTGAACCATTTATCGCCAAAGTTACGTTATCTGTGAGTGGCTTACATTGTTCCAACTTCAAGCATTGTTTTAAATGAGTATAACCGATATTTTTACGAAAATATTTAAGTGTGGAATAAGTAGGATATGGTTTTTTTTCACTTTTAAGGTTGTCGAGGGTCTCAACTTCATGAAAGAGGACATGAACTTGATCCATCGTGATGTTAAACCGTCAAATATTTTGCTTAATCGTCATGGACAGGTGAAAATATGCGACTTTGGCATATCTGGTCATCTCACGAACAGCCTCGCCAAGGTAAAGGAAAGTCATACTCCGTATAAATTTCGGATAGATTAAAAACATTTGCTTTTGGAATACCAATCAACTTCCATTTCCCGTAGATAAATCGTGTTGTTGCATCATTGTTACTGCAAGTTTTAAAAACATGTAGTGGCTGTTCCACGCACCTGCAACTTTGAGCATTCATTTCAATGCATACATGCCCTGAAGTGATTGCTCCAAACTGTGAATAAACGTCTCTCCTCATATTGAAGTATTTTAATTGAAGAGAAAGCTGCTAGAACCTACACATCTTTCCAACATTCTTCCAATCACAGTGACATATTCATTTTCTGGCTTTTTTTACTGCCTTTTCGTTGTCTGAATTCGTATTTGATGTGCGAAACGGCTGAACATGCAGGATTCTGTCCAGCAGAACAGGATGTCCAGTTTGTTATTTGATGAGCTATGCAGTGTTTAATATTGCTATACACTACCAGCTATCTTTGCTCTTTCAAAGTCTTTTTTGAGAATTGTTTTTGCTAGATGAGCGGAAATATACTTACAGCAAATAAAGAACTGGTTTGTACCCTTCATTTAATGGCTATTGCGAAAACTGTACTTGGTCTTTGTGCTTGTGAAGTATACGACGTTAATGAGCCTAAGAATTTTACCTTCGAATTCGGACTGCGTTTGTACTTTTCTGCAAAGGTGGAACTAGTCTTTATAATTAGCAGGGTCAAGCAGTGATAAATTTGTGGTATTTTTTTTAACATAAAAGATTATGCTCCCGAGCAATTGACTAGGAAACCATGGACCGTGATCCCGTTTTGGCATCCTGTTTTAGTGTACTACATTGGTAGTTCTTCAGACAGTAGCAGCGGGCTGTAAATTCTACATGCCACCCGAGCGAATTGACGGAGACATGAAGGGATCATATGACGTAAGAGCAGATGTATGGAGCCTTGGAATCACACTGGTGAGGCATTTGCTCACACTTTCCACTTCTCACTATCACTTGTGTTACATGATAGCTTTTAGCATTAGCCAGTAAAATGACGATACATGAGCTTTGCGGTGTAAAAACGTTTATTATAGAGCTCTTCAAGAGAATTCGAACGTTTTCTCGAGTTTGACTGTGAAAGATGTGTGTTTCACGGCTTAATTGTTGCAAAAATTTTCATTTCAGGTAGAGATTGCTACTGGAACTTATCCTTATGATATATGGGTTACCCCATTCCAGCAACTCAAGCAGGTAAGTCGTATACTTTAGATAAGGCATGATAAAATTTCTCCTTATTCTGTGTTCATTTTTACGTGTGGCTAGTTGATTAGGCGTCTGAGTACAAATAAGTTCTATTTTAAACACTTCATTGTTACAAATATTTAGAGAAGAGGTTTTGGTTTTGTTTTAACTCGCTGGGAGATTTTAAGGTTATCGAGGAACCCGCGCCTCGATTACCTTCCGATGGCTCATTCTCTGCAGACTGCCAATATTTCGTACAACGTTGGTTAGTTCTTAACATGTATTTTACTGAAATTTCTGCCCTTTCTCTCCTTCTTTTACATTTTTTTACATCTCAAGAACTTCTTTTTCAAGAGGCGTCTTTCAGCCTTGAAAAAAATCCACACGAGCGTCCAAAGTATCCTGAATTGTTAGCTATGCCTTTCCTCGACAGTGCTAGGAACGAGAAACACTTTAGTATGGCTAAGTATATTGTGGAGGTAATGTACGAACCATTAGTCTTAAGTTTCCAATCTTTTACAGATTTATTTTGATTTGTCGTACAAAATTTGTTTTCATGATACAAAGTAATTGTGACCAATATAAAAGCTTGTGCGAATTTCAGATCGATCATCTCAGAACTATGTTAATAGTTCTGCTCTTTTATGCATGTCATGAATAACGGCGGTCTTCCATGTTAAGAAAAACTTTTGTTAAAAAGTGATTGTTAAAGTATCAGAAGCGTTTCATTTATAGACAGCATCAATTGCAGATTTTGGACGCATCTGTTCCTTCTCAGTCGTCGACAGACAAACACTTATGAGCTGACGTTTTTGCAGTTATCTCAATGTCCATGGCATAAATGCTCTGAACTATCACAATACTCACCCGGGGTCGATTACTAATCAGTATTTGTTATTCGTTGTCAGTTTTTATGTCGCTAAGACCAATATGGCATCTTTTTAGTGTAGGTAGTTTCTAACTCTTCAATTTTGCTTAGTCTTCCAAGGTTATTTTCGTTTCTTGTTTCACATTTGTTGAGTATATTATCTCTAGTTAAAGATGTACACAAGTGAACGCGTCCATCGAGTTATTGCTCATTAGAAATTCGTCCACGGATTATATTGCTTATCCTGAGACGAAAATACCCTTCATCCACTATCCATTGCTTCTCTTCTGTGATCCACGCAAACACTGAGCGGTATCGGTGCTAGCGAACACTCACGCTTTCACATTGAATGATGTGGAATTTCTTACTTTGATATCAGCATTATCTTTCTTTCATCTCATTTGTTTTGAACAGTAAGCTCTTTAACATAAGTTATACTCCCAAGGAGAACGAGTACTCTGCATTTCTAACTAAAAGGAATGAACAACTTTTGCAAAACTTGCTGTTGTCGTATATGTATAGTACTATGCCATCGTCATGTGTCATGTATCTCAACAAGTATGTCTTCAGGCAGGTATGGAAGTTCGTCCATATCTCCGATTTAACTAAGCTTAATTCTTGCCTGTTCGTTGCTTGTTTTTGACACGATTGAAGTAATGTTGTATCTCTATATCCATGCGATCTTTTTCGATTATTTAGGGTTCTGACGCTTAAGGTATATCAAAACTAATGTGAACATTTGCTTGTGCGACTTCCAGACCTGTTCGAATACTTCTTTACAAATAAATGTCTGGCTCACTTCACAAAAAAAGCATTTCTTAACTGTTCCTTTAAAATGAGCGCCTGTGAAAAATTTCTATCGGTTGGGGTCCATTTTCGAATGCGAAGTGGATTTTTGTTTCGTGTAAAGTACCATTTCATTACTCATATAGGTGGAAGAATAGCTTTTATTTTAGACCTAAATGTGACGGTGTGGATAGCATAATCGTCTACCCACAGTTGTTATGCTTCAAATATTTCGTGCATGCATGGAGAATGGAGAAATCTAGCCTAGAAGTTGGAGAAGCGTTCACAAACTTTGCTGTTGTAGAAAGTAATGAGTTATCGTTAGAAGCGATTAAAGTTGGACAGCGATCTTCTCAGAGATTCTCTTTCCTCGTCTCGTTTGGCTTATATCCGAATTCAATCCGAGTACCACCAAAAGTGGCATGATTGACAGTTTAATCCTTTAATTTTCAAATACCAACTGGAAAGGAGTTTTATTTTGGCAAGCAAAAGTTCGGAGTGATTACGTTCACTTCTTATTTACTGCCTACTACAATTCTTCACAGCAGAGTACTATGTGGATTACAACCACAATGATGCTAATATATTTACAAAATCCAGGAACGCAGGCGTCTGCGGTGAGGGTGGAACTCAGTGCTACCCTTTCCGGGAGTTAACGCGTTCACCACCAGTCCATGCGGGTCCTTTGCTTCGCCTTTCTCTCAGATACTTTTCTTCTGAGAGAAAGGCGAAACAATGGACCGGCATGGTGTGGTGGTGAATGCATTAGCCTCCGGAAACGGTAATAGCGTGTTCGATCACCACTGCAGACTCCTGCAGTACGGAGTTTTACAAACATCTCAGCATTATTGTGTTTGTAATTCGCAATGATTACTTGGATATGGGAAGGGGAACTGAGACGGCCTGTGATTCGCGTGTAGTGCGGTGATTAGAGGCTCAGCGTAACACACGGAGTTGTTCGATAGATCTCGCTCCTTTGGCTAACCAAACCTCCCATCATTCAGCCTTCGGTAAATTGATAGAGTAGTTCTCTGGGGGAGGAAAACGGACTTAGTGTATTGGTAGTCTAGCTAGCACAAGTTCTGTATTGACTTAGTAGTGTTTCCAATCAACTATACGCCGCTTGGTGGTTTCTCATGCATGTCTCACCTTCATGTGGTTGTTCAACTCCGAAAGTGTTACTCTTTTGCCTTTGCTTGGAAGTGTGATATAGTTTTCAACTATTTAGTAGCCATGCTCTTAATACGCTAATCTCCTACAGTGCGTTCTTCCTTCAATTCAGTAGTATGCTAAGTGCGCTGGTCAACTATGTTCGCAAGGCTTCGGTTGCCAGTAATGTATAATTTCTGCTTTCCTACCACAATATTACTTCCCAGTAGATATTATATTAATAGTTTCTGACATAGCTAACAAAGAGAAGTTTTTTCGCTTTTTTACTTATGGCAGTTTCAATGGATTTCATTTGGAAGACAACCACAATGATGCTGAGATATGTGCAAAACTCCGGACCGCAGGTGTCTGCGATGAGGAACGAACGCGCTATTATCCTTTCCGGGGAGTAACGCATTCACCACCACACCATCCGGGTCCTTCGTTTCGCCTGTTTCTCAGTAAATAATTTTAAAAGGCAGTGAATAAAAAGTGAGCATTGTGGATTTCATTTGGAATAAGTCGTTCACTGGGCTCTAAAAGATTGAGAACTCGAGGGAAGTTAACAGCAGTGTTCTTATAGCAATATTCTTTTGCTTTGAGGGTGTGGCTTTCTCCATGCTTTCATTTGCACTTTAGAAGAAGAGATCCTAAGTAGTTTTTCTACAACGGGATTTTGGTGTCTGCTAAATGGAAGTGCTGAAAATATCGGAGCACTTCTTTTTACCAATTTCAAACGGTCACAAAAGGTGACATAAATCTCATGCTCTTGAAATAGATTTGGCGATGAGAAATTATATTTCCGAGCTTCGATTGAATCTGTGTGGATTATTCAGATTGGGTCCTTTTTTAGGCTTCCTCAAATAACTTTTCTGCTTGTGCCATTGTAATTGACGCATGTAGCGCAGTGGTTAGAGGTGTGCGACCACAGGCAGAGTCTTTGGATCAGCCCAACGCCCTTGACTAATCAAACCCCTCATCACTAAACTTTTAGCAAATTGAAGCGAAAATTGTTTGGGAGATACATCAGTAGCCCAACGCAAGCCACTGTACAAGTCAGGTGTGCATTTCATCACTTTTAACCATATTTGTTAAAGTCAGGTGCGTGGTACACGCCTCATAGATTGGGCAACGCCGACCATTTTTATTCTTTTACCGGTTTAAGTCACCTTTAAGATGTTCTGGAGCTAAAATGCAATGCCAGTCTTATCAGTTGTGTAACACTCGGATACAGTTCTTCTTTCATTCTCTTTTGGATTCATAACGTGGGTGAAAATTCTCTATATTTGGTCCTGATTTCTTTTATCATCCAATCGCGTTTCAAAAGGTTGCACTCAGAATGGTGTTCTTATATATGGTTTGCCTTTCTCCTTCTATGAAATGGCAACTTTTCTTCTATTTTATGATTGAATCGAATAATTCCACGGTAATACGGTGGTCAGATCGAGAAAGGGAAGATAGCACTATGGGAGTATCGAGGTGTTCACCTGTCCACCTGTTGTCCCGCTAATCTTCGAGTAAATCGAGCGGGCTCCAGTAATTTTCCATTTTATCCCTTTCACGTGCAAGAGTAGCCCACTGGGTTCTGCTCGCTCTAGGGACCCTTTGAGCACCACAACTTTTTTCTGGGGTTTTTGTAAAGAGTTTTTAGCATTGGAGCGGTGGACTTCCTGCAGTTTGTTTGAAATCCCGAGAAATCTAGTCACTAACTTCTCTTTTCCATTGGTTATCGTTTGGACGCATTGCTTGTCCGGTCCTCCTTACCATTTACAATTTGGCGTATGGAATGGCGTCTTTTACTTTCGATCGCAGATATAGGTCGGAATTTTGGAGTCTGTTTCTCATTTGCATGATAAGAGATACTGCTATCATCGTTTCTCTGCCGATGCGCTAACGGTAAGTGAACTTTTAATCTGCTTTCGGAATAACCGCCTTTTCGACGCATACGCTTAATTCAGGCGAAATCGTGGATTCGAAAAGGTGGGCACAGATTTCCGTGTTTTCAGTCTTTTTCACGACATTCTCGATGTTCTTGAAGGCATGGTGCTCACTTCCTCCCACTCAACTCTGGAAGTGAGCCGTTCTTCGTCTTGACTTCCCAGCCTGGGTAAACGCAGTTTGAGCAATCGGAGGTATTCGTTCCATGGAGCATGAACCAGACATAAGAAACAAATGCGTTCTTCATGAGCATGGTTTCCGTGGAATTTAGTTGAAAACCACTATTTCCACAAGCTTTATCAAAGTCGACTAGCATTCGTGCTGCCTGGTTTATTCTTTATACTGTAAGAACGATGTCATCAGCAAAACGAAGATGGTGTAACTGCCGACCATCTACCTCCCTGCGCTGTTGTCCCTTTCTGATCTCCGAATCATATACTTGAGGATGGATTTAAATAATTTTGACGTAATGATATCGCCTTGCCTAACACCTCTTTTGACGTCGACTTTGAAATCGTTATAGAATGGTGACATTTTCGTTCTGTGATTCACCTATGGCTCACGGGCTTTATATAATGTGTGGAGTGCCCTAACTGTCTCGTGCTTCCATGACTGCTTCTGCCTCATGAGAATTGAAAGCCTTTATTGAGTCGATATAAGTGAGAGAGAGATAGAGCACTGTACTCTCATGATACTCTCACGATTCGATAAGTCTCTTGAGCACGTGGATACTGAATCCTTCTCCGAACCCTGCTTGTTTACACAGCTCTCCTTCCTCCAGTGTTCTCTCAGTCCTGTTTAGGATGATTCGATTGAAGAGTTTATAGACAAAAGAAAGCAGACCGACTGGGCGATAGCTACCGATGTCGTGAAGGCCACCCTTTTTGGACAATAACATGTTCTTGCTGGTTTTTGAACAATAATACAATCTTACTGGCCATTGAATAGAAACCTTGCATTCTGGCATGTAGCGTGTGAACATCCAAGCCAGTGTGTTGATGAGAACAGGAGGTAGATTCTTCAGTTTTTCAGACCCTTTACTCTGCCGGCAGAGGGTTGTACTATTCTTTGCTGGCAAGGTAGCATGCGTAATTCAAAGAAGGACTGCAGAGACCACATGCCTTATCCTGATTTACTTCATGAGTACGCAGGAGGACGTCACTGTGGAAGGTCAGACTACTAGTTGTGAATGATTTTGTTCGGCGCTAACGTGAAAATATTGGTTGAGTCGATCGTATTCCTCGTCGATGACACTGAGAACGGTGTCTTCCCAACAGACGACTAATAAGTTAAATAAATCTCAATTCTTATTGGTTTTGGGACTTCGTTTTTTGAATTTAACGGCTTTTTCTCCCTTTTCGCGAGTAAGGAAATCGAGCACGAAGGAGGCGATGGTCTGATCCCATGTAGAATTTTGGGACAACAGCGACATCGGCTAAGCAAAACCTTCGATTTACTATGATTTGGTCTATTTTGTTATAGTGCTTTCCTTTGGGAGACTCTCACATTTAGTGTTGAGAACGGCGTTTCTAGAATTGTGAGTTACCATGAACAGTCTTGATCGTTATGAAAAACTCAGAGAGCCGGTCACTCTGGTCGTTCCATTGTAATCGGTGTGTACCAATGTGCCGTTTTTCAAGTTTCTTCTTGGTCCAATTTTAGCGTTGAGATTTCCAATGATGACCTCGAAGAACGTATGGTCTTCTCTATAGAAGTTCTCTAAATCCATATACAATGTTTCGACTTCCTTTTCGTCATAGCTTGAGGTCGGTTGATAAACGGGGAACCTTGTCAGAGCCGCTATTGATCCACTTTTCTTCAACAGCAGTAGTCTTATTCGGGTTGTCAGCTGTTCGAATGAGTCTATGTTCATGGCCAAAATCGTGCTGACCAGAACGCGGACGCCGCCATCTCTACTGTCGCATGCTCCAACGAACAGTTTTTCTCCGATATCATCGACGGCGTTGAACGAGTGGCGCTTTCTCGTTTCGGACGGTCCGTTGATGTCGTATCTTATCCTCCTTTCCTGCATGATCGAGTCCCATTTCGGTGACTTGAATGCAAGTGAGCGCGCATTGTAGGTACAAATGGCCACCTTAATCCTTAGGGTTTTTCCAGCATAGGATAGCCATGATTTTTCAGCAGCCTTTCCTTACTCGTTCGATTTAACGCTGCTATATCACGGCCTTCTCGGAATTAGATGAATAGAGCTCACTTATTTTATTATTTTGGTGTGCGATATCCATTCCTTAGCTTGCCGAGTTTTCAATGTAAACTGGATATACATAGAGGTACCTTGCCAGTCTTTTCCAGAGTAGACTTGGAGTTCATATGTAGGAGGCGACTTCTAACCATCTCCCGTGTAGTTACTACTCACTTGATTGTAGGTTTTTTGCCTAATTGTCTTATAGAATACAATTTGCATAAACGAGAGCACACCTACCTACGCATGTATTAAGATGTCTACGTAAACACACAAGGTATGTGTTATGTGTCATATCTGTGCAATAGGAACAGGAGGTCCATCCCGTTTGTCCACTTGGTCTCAGAGACCATGGCCCCTTTGCTTTTGGTCCGCGCTCAACTCCTGTGGGCCACCTGTGAACGAGCAACGTAACTTCGCGTGTAGCCTGCTGGGAATCGATCAGTGAAAAAAGTCCGTGGAAGGAGGCTTCGTCCTCTGTTCACGAGGATGTTACTAACCTTTTCTTCGGTTCATTAGGCCATTTCCATACCTATTTTTCTTCTCCAAAAGTGGTCTTTTGTAAAGCAGATCAGGCCACATGTTAAGGTTCCCGTTGCTTCTTCTTTTCTCGACTTCCTCGACCTCGAATTGACTTCCAATGGCAGTTCCTATTCTGTTCAGGTGTTTGAAACAAGCCTATCATAGCAGCGTATTGGTGCTGTTATCTGTTCTAACCTATGTGAAATATGAAAAAGCTTTGAAACGAAAAGTTATTATCTGAGCATCACCAGTTCACCAAGATGTTCACCTCCTCAGTGATGTAATGAATGTGGGTATTGAATTCGCTTAATTAAGGCGAAATGCATGCATAAGTGGTTAGAATTCCCCTAAGGAGTTTATAGTAGCTGTTGATTTGATATGATAGTCGCTGGGAATGCGAGGGAGCGCGAGTTCCATCACGAAATCACTCTAGCCCGTTATTGTCAAAAGTGATGAATTGAGATCGGGATAAACATTCTCACTCCATGATTCCATGGTCGAAATGCAATTCCACTGTACGTTAGGGACTAATATCTCTTCCAAACACTTCCTTGGCCTTCATGACCATCATCGGATTCTTTCGGCTTATAGAGGATGTATCGAACTTTTTCAATCTTCCACTTCTAATTGTGGTACTTTTTTGGTGCATCTGTACTCTCCCATATTCCTGTAAAAGAATGTTTCAAAGCATTTCTATACGATGCGGACCGTTTCGAGTGGTGAAGAAAGATGTGGTGTGCAAATTCGATTTGACCGTGTGTTGCACCCTTATATGGTTTACCGCCTCATCGTGGCTTGAAGGTGTTTCTGCGTGTAGGACTGCGACCTACAGCGGGGAATTTATTTCCTGGGAGGGTCTCCCAAGCTAAGAAGGAGTCCGGCGTTTCCATTATGAAGCCTTGCTAAGAGTAAACAATACCAGGATCCACAACCGATCCGGTATCGAAGTCGCATGATGGTAAATCTTCTTCTGATCCACAAGGACTGCAACTGCCTGTGGTTGGTGGTGAAGGCCTGGGGCAGACTTTGGCCAGGCTGACCTCGGGACTCCAGGGAACCATCTCCGAAAGTGGAGATAATGCTAGAGCTGCACAACCAGTGAGGGCGGGCCATTCAAGTATCAAGTATCAAGTGCGAACGAATGGCTTTTTTTTGTAAGAGTGGTGATGGATATACGAAAACAACGATAGGGTTGATTCCAAGAGGATATCTTCTTCTATCTAAGCATCTTCTGGGTAAACCAGCCAAAATACGGACAGATATGTTTGTAGATTAGGTCACTGACTATGGCAACAGTACCTTTATCGAAACGGGTTACTAACATTCACGATGATGGTGAGGGAACGAAACGAATGAAAAATGCGCTGGAGCTCACACGATTAATACTTATTTATCGTTTTTTATACATGATCGGTCACTACATCTACTGTGCGGATCTGAGCACTTTTTGAATTGCACTCATTTTCCTCTCATCCATCGTTCACAGTGTCTTCGAATGATCCGCATGTTGTTTCGGCTTCTGCTCGACGATTTCGTCTGCTTTATGAATGTTGCCGAATGCCGGTCGGGTCGACTCTCCTTGTAATTTGGGAGATAGCCGAGCTAAGATGTTCCCACGTAGATCGGAGGAGATCGTTGGGATGGGGTGAAACTTGCGCCTTTGTTTGATGATCAACGGCGTCACTAACCGCTGCGGTGAAACAAACAACAAAAAACAAATGTTCCTGGATCTTCTACATACGAGCCAACAACGCGTACATGGTGGAGTCCTTCGATGTCACTGCCCTCTATACGAACGTGTCGAATACCTCCGCTATGCAAGCCATCCGCGAGCTCCTTATACAAAACGAGGGAGCAATAAACATGTACGGCTTCTCGATTCAGCGGTTGATGGCACTCTTAAAAGAATGCTTGTGCTGCTCAATCTTCAGATGGCCCGGGAGGTACTACGCACAAATGAGAGGGCTGGTAATGGGACAACAACTGGCACCAAGTCTTGCCATTGCGTTTATACCTAAGGTGGAAGCACCAGTGATTGATCTCGGGCCGCTACTCTACTGTAGATATATAGCCATTTTTAATGGCTACGAAATTGTAGCTTGAAATAGGTATAGAGGAAACTGCAGGTACCCCCAACGACAACTTTAGCGACAATAAGGTTCCGTTTATACTGCCCTTCATTTCAAATGAAGTAAGTGCAGCTATAAAACGCTGTTTAAGAAGGGCCGGTCTGGAGAATTCGGAAACGATAATTGAAATGCCATCGAGTAGGCTAAGACGCCAGCTAGTTCGTAACCGCCTATACGACCGTCTATGTGCAACGCAAAATTGCATAATTTGCCCCAATGGTAGAGACGGTGACTGCATGTGTTTTTTGTACAGTCTATCTGATCCCTTGTAAAACGTGCGGGGACGAACACTTTGGCGAAACGGGTAGACCACTCTGCGTGCGTATAAAAGAACACCTAGTCGGCAAATGTAAGCCAAATACTCCACTAGGCACGCATAGGACGCAGAGACATAACGGAGAAGATTTTGAAGTAGGGGTTACGATCCTCGCGCAAGAATCGAGAACACAAGCGCGCAAAACTCTAGAGGCATTTAATTCCAAGAATCCGAAAATGAACCGCAGGAGGAATGCCTCATTATCACGCGTGATATTGGGCAGTATATAAGCCTGTTATTTTGATGAGATGGGCACAATACGATTCCGTGTGAACTCTGTGCGGTTGGTCTCCACGTGACATATTTAGTGGAAGACTCATAGAAAACGGTGAGTGTGTAAAGACTCTGTGTTCAATGTGGTTGAAATTTTGGTTCAGCATTTTCTCTGTTTGGTTATGGAGATGTTTGGCCGTGTAGATTTCAGTCAACTTGACCGTTCCAGTCTCTGAGGAAGGCGAAATCCTCCGAAACGACAGCTTGTACGTAAATAAAGAAATAAAATAACACCTCATGTTTGCTGAACAAAAGTAGAGAGAATTATTCAATCAATTCCGAGGTTAATAGAAAGTCGGACGTGGGAGTTACATGTGAAACAGTTTTCAGGTTAGGCTGCTGGAACAATATTTGCAATAAAGCAGATTTGAGTTTTTTATTTATGCTAATTCTTTATCACTAACGCCGCTTCGTTGTATTTGGTAAAAGAAAACAATAGTAGGGTGCGACAGTTCACTTAATAGAGATCTGCCGCTGAAAAGCTTCCTCGTGCAAAATTTGCGTCAAAATGGTGTTACATTACCAGTAATGTGTGGTTTAAAAAATGCACCGAGTGCAAAATGTGGCATCGGCACTGATCAAGCAAAAGAAACCAATTATGTCACACAGCTACACGATCACTATTTTTCACAAATTGTGGCTCAGATGCAAGGCAAGCTAGGCTACGAAATTCCGTCGCCGCCATTGTGGTTCAGAGAGAGATTTGCACCACGCAACTAGTGTGGTACCAGGACGGTAACGAATCCTGGTATCGGTTTACTTTTAGCTAGGCTTCCTGATAAAAACGCCGGACTCGTTCTCTGCTTGGGAAACCTTGCCAGGGGGTAAACCCTCTGGACATCGCAGCCCGACACCCAGGAACACTTCTCAGCCACAATGAGCTGGTAAGCCATTGGGAGGTTATATATATAT